TTCAGCCTGAGGTGCAGCTCTGAGAGCGACTGAAGGCACCCAGGGTGGAAACGTCCCCTGCACTGCTTCCACGCGCCTTGGTAATGAAGCAGATTCTCCCTCCTACCCGGTGGGCCGGAGCTGCTGCTTGGTTCCCGGGGACGGGGGCTTTTGTGCAGGTGAGCTTCCAGGTTTCCACTTTGTGTGCGCCAGCGAATGTCCCTGCAGTCCTCAGTGACCCAGTGCCACCTTCCTGGGAAGCAGGGGTGGGACGGGGCCAGTGCTGGGCGAGGGGAGGGAAGCAGGCAGGGAGTGCTGGGGCTGTTGTAGAGAGGGGATTTCAGAGCTGGAGAAAAAGTGGGGAACGGGGGGAAGAGGGCAGAGCTGATGCCCCTTGAGGAGGCCGCCCACATTAGATGGCTCCCTGCCCTTGTGCCTAGGGGTGAATTAGCCTGAGGGATTTGTGCTGTAGGATATGGGTGGCACCAGGATCTTGACTGGATTTAACAGGAAGAACAAGGGTTTTTCCCCGGTTTGTGACAAGTGTCAGATAAACCCTTCCTGTCGAGGAGGCACGAAGCGTGTCAGCAGGGTGTGCTACAACCTGCCCAGCCCATTCTTCTCCGGATGCCGTCCTGGCGCTGGCCGGGCCAAGCGTGGGGAGTGCCCAGAGACAGTGCTGACGTGACAGTGCCCAAGTCCTGCCTGCCCCTTCCCTCCCAGGGCCCCTGGCTGTCGGGCGCACCCCAGGCCGCCTCACACGGCGCTCTGCGCTGAAGGGCCTTTCCTCCCCCAGAGAACCATGGCAGAGAAGATCCTGGTGACCGGCGGAGCTGGCTACATCGGCAGTCACTGTGTGCTGGAGCTGGTGGAGGCTGGCTATGTCCCCGTGGTCATAGACAACTTTCACAATGCCATCCGAGGTATGGAGAGCCTTCATCCCTTCCCATACAAGGGCCTCGGCCGCTCTCAGCCTGTGCCGGCACCTCCAGCCATCCCAGCGCCTCACACCCTTCCATCTCCCCAGGGGCAGACGCGCTCCCCGAGAGCCTCCGACGTGTGCAGGAGATCGTGCGCCAGCCCATCCTCTTCCAGGAGCTGGATATCACTGACGAGGCAGCGCTGCAGGAGCTCTTCACTAAGGTGAGAAGAGCAAGAGCTGCAGTGCCCCAAGGCGGCCTCATGGGCTCCAAGGGATGAGAGAGGTTTGTGCTGGGGCTGGGAGCAGGGAGGGAGACGTGGAGTGGGCAGGAGCGGAGCGGGGAGGATGGTGCTGAGGGAATGCTGTGACCAGCAAATGTTCCTCTGGGGCATGGAGACCACACGGGCTGGCTGAATGAAACTCCTGGGGGGATTTCTGACTGGTTTCTGCCTGGAGCTTCTATCTCCTGTTGCTGTGGCACTAACGCCAAGCTCTTTCTCCCTCTGCAGCACCATTTCTCAGCCGTGATGCACTTTGCGGGGCTGAAGGCAGTGGGGGAGTCTGTGCAGAAGCCCCTGGAGTACTACAGGGTGAACCTCACCGGGACCATCCGGCTGCTGGAGGTGAGCGGAGCCGGGAGGCGGCGTGGGGTGCTGGGGCCGCACGGGTGCTGGGTGACTGGTGCTGGGTGCGATCCCGTTCTGGGGTGGCTGTGCTGGCTGGCAGCCTGGTCCCGGCGGCG